TTATTATTTATTAATGATTCAATAATTGAATGACATTGATTTTCACATCTTCAAATTTTATAAAAAAGGCATGACAAGACTGCCTCACATTCCTTATTTGCTTCATGCCCCCTTTTCATTTGAATTGGTTAGCTTCCGAGCATTGTTATGGAGAACATGTCAAATTCTTCAGGTGATATCCCCAATAATGATTGTATTCATGCTGCCTTTGGGAAATTGAAGGAGCGGTACCGCCCATAAGGTGAGAGAAAGAAGGAAACCATCTTTAAAATGAGTAAAGTGGTTGCACTACCAAATCACATGGGCTCCTCTGATTCATTGTTTGGTACTAAGCGAAGGAACGTTCAGCCAATCAGGCTGACTACCAATTCGACAGCCCAGCCTTTCACTGCGACACGAGATCCACTGATTGAACATGCCACACAAAAAGCTGGTAGTGCTCTTCTATAGTATTGTGAGGATGCTATGTCGATTATAACATCTAAGTTTGATTGACTCATTGGTATAAGGAGCCCAAGCTTGCTAGAAATTTGATTTTTCTAAAGTCCTTTCTCTTTATGTTGTCTTTTGGTGTAGATGATCCAGCTATTGTTATCTTGGATGATGACTCACTTTTGGAAGGCATAGGAGAGAATCTGACACAGTGCTGGTGGTGGCTGCTCAGGTGCCAGTTGAGGGAGGCCAACTCTCGAGCAAGCATAGTGGGGTGAACAAGGCGAGTGATCCTATTGAGACCCACGAGGAAGTAACTAATGGGTGTCAGGTCTCTCATGGATTGCTGGATTGCCACATGGATGAAATTGAGAACTCATTCACTCAATCTATTATGATCCAATGGGATGATGAGGTGCATAAGTTATTGGCTTGTATGGAGAAAGTGAAGAAAATGGAGGAGGTTGTGGGCACCCTTCAATAGGAATTGTCAGCCGTCTGTGAGAGATCCTTGATAATATGGGTTCTCATTGAGACATATCGACTAAATCAGTTTAAGTTTTGGGGGAAATTTTGTATAAGAGATTGCTTCAGTGGAGGTAAGTCTCAGTCAAAGCGATGACCAACTCGCTTATAAAGTATTTTATATCTTGCTAGTTTTCGATGCCTTATAATTTGTAATGTCTATTTTTGGAATAAAATTTATTTTTCTATCTTATTTTCTGTGTTGAAGTGATTCTTCTATCAACACATTTTTAAAATTACTGTAAATTTTCATTTTTACCCTTATGGAATGGTTCAACTTTCTTTATTTCCCTA